ATTGAGTACCTAACTTCAAAGACAAACGATTGGTGTATTCCTTTGAATAAATATACCTTTCGCTCGTTTGTTTTACTAAGAATTCGTTCCATACCGTACCTACACCTATTTAAATGAAAGTAAAATATAAATAATGGTTGTTTAATTTCTATAGCTGCTTGAGTATCCAAATGTTCTAATACAAATTACACTCAAAATATAATTTATATATACACTAATTTTTTTTATTGCTTAGATGGATGGACGAGCTCACAGCCCACCTGGTGTTAAGTGGTTACTGGAGCCCATAGACGTCTACAACGTAAATGCGCCACCCACCTCGAGATATAAGCTCTAAGGTCTCAGTATAGTTACAACGGCTACCCCCACCCTTCCAACCGAAACGCATTACTGCTTCACGGCGGAAATAGGCAGGGTGGTGGTACCTACCCATGCGGACTCCCAAGAGGTCCTACCACCAGTGAAAATATATATACACTACGTAATTAAAAACTGAAAGAATCGTTTATATACGATGATGATATTTAAAGTGGATAGTGAGTTCTTGAGTGGAGAACGCACGCACATCGACAAATGTAATTTGGGCTGTTCCCGCGGATATGTGGTGCGGTGCCTTGGGAAGGGTGGCCGGTAAGAAATGTTTAAGGAAAGTCGAAGATCGAGTTCACTGATGTAAATTTTGAGAGGCCAATATCCAACCGGTGACGATTATAGGCTGATGTTGATGGGCAAGTAGTGATGCTTTAGGTTCAGGTAAAAATATGACCAAAAATTTTTGTTTTTCTAATTATTTATTTATTTATTTATTCAACTTCATGCACAAAGGTGCAATGGCGGACTTAATGCCTGAGGCATTCTCTACCAGTCAATCAAGATTGGTGAAGAGAATCATGTGGTAGGTGCATTACTTATTACGAAAGTAACAATTAATAATAATATTACATCCATATACAAACACATATACGGCATACATATATATATCATCACATACAAAACACATTTATACTCAATTATAACAATATATAATTACTTGTTTAAAAAAAAAATTCGTTCGATCTTTACACAAAAACCAAGCAAGGTGAGGTTTCAAACACCTTTACTTAATAATTGTTTATGTTATCTCGAAACAACGGCGAAAATCGGGGAAGTAATACTATCGACACCAGAAAGCCAATACGTCGAGTAATTGAAGAGATGAGAACGTAAATTCAATTATAATGTGGTAACAGTTTCGCTTTAAGCGTAAATACATGAGTACCGAGGAGGAGAATTGGTGGCGATACCGATGCAGTCTTTCATTAAATCTGTTTCATTTCTCACACGTTACTTCTACACCTTGCAAGTCGGTCATGTGTTACATTTAATATCTGCCTTGATAGGTAAACGAGCTTACAGTCCACCATTTTTGTTAAATATCATGTTTTGATTTGTTAAAGTAAAATCGAAGTGTACGAATAATAACAACTGGAGCGAATAATATACACGTGTTTGCTCTTATAACGCATTATGCAAAGGAAAATTGCCCAAATCAGCATTTAATTTGATTTCTTCCTAATAGTATATCGCTTTTCCCTTAGATTCAGCATTTTTTTAGATTTCATGTTAAATCGATGTAATTCAAATTCAAATTTTCAAAAAAGTTTCTGGAAGCTGTCGCGAGCATAGTTTTGCTAATCTGTTACTGGCTTTGTGTGAGTCCGCGCGGGTGGGTACCACCCACAGTAATGTGTTTCGGTTTGAAGGGTGGGGCAGCCGTTGTAACTATACTGAGACCCTTAGAACTTATATCTCAAGGTGGGTGGCGCATTAACGTTGTAGATGTCTATGGGCTCCAGTAACCACTTAACACCAGGTGGGCTGTGAGCTCGTCCACCCATCTAAGCTATAAAAAAGAACTGTATAAAGTTTGAAAAATCTTAATGCGTGGATTTTAATGAAGACAGTTTAGCGGTTGAAGAAGATTTAGTCAAGTGCTTGCAATATGCCATACTGCCAGTTAATGCATTATATTGGCAGAATACTCAGAGAACGCTGCTCCCCATTTGCCTTAAATTCCTTATTCCCCGTCTATGATACGTATAGAAAAAGCAAGCCTGGTGCTTTGCTAGGCCGTCACAACACAGTCAAATTTGTACAAAAAAATGTTGCATGCTTATATGCTACAGTTTCCGGACCACGATATCACTCATGGCTGCTCGATCGATATGCGAACACCTTGCCTTTGACATGCTAGGCTAAAGATAAGCTATTCCAGATTCAAAGCGAAACCGTACTAATATCACGTTAACTACTGTTTATAAAAATAATAATGCATAGTATGGTAAGTACTTTAAAACCTATTAGATTGAAGACAAGATTCGATCAAAATATGTCGCTAACATACTAATACGAACAAAGTACTGTTTGTATATGAATGATTGGGCCCATTTCAGAGTAAACAAGCTTCTCAAGAAATAAGGGATACAAAGGACAGCGGGGCAATCTAATAAAATGTTTCAAGTCTGAGCCGCAAACGCGCTTTTACAAATTCGTAGTTTCCCAGCGAGTCTCATACCAAAAGCTAACGAGTAATTGCCCTTAACGATCCTACTTCCCGGGAGAATGAACTCTTCCTTTTATTTGCACATTATTGTGCAGTTAAGGGCTTTAAGAACTGGTTTTTGTGACAAAATTAGCTATGTTCTCTTAGTGAGGTGCTTTTGGCAAGAAAATCACCGAGCGCCTTATTCTCGTTTATAAATCAATATACTAAAATAAAGGGCATAGTAATAACGGGCAAAATTAATATTATCCAACAGCTGCTTTAAATATGTTGTTTACTACAAATTTAACTAGACAGTTGACCAACGTCGGAGATACTATTTATGTAAATTCATTGTTTAAAAATAAACAAGAATGAATTTGTTACACGGTCACGAGTCATCAATACATTATTATAGGGCTTTATGCAGAAAACGCATCCTGGTTTGCTTAGACAACCGAAAACTAAAGCAATAAACGTGTATATTATTCAGAAAGATGTTGATCTTCTGACGTTTTAGTAATGTTGTCAGGTCTCTGTAGCACACAAGAAAAACATTTGTCGTTTCATCTTTTATTCAATTCTCTCTTGTGGTTGGTAAAGGTTATTGTTACGAATTTAGAAGATAATGTAAACCTAAAAAGTAGCCGCGAGCCACACAAAATAATCACGATAGGCTTTATTTTTCACTCTGTATACCAAATTGTTTTTTTTATGAATAAAATATTACTGGTGGCCCGGAGGCCTTTCTAGTTTCACCAGAACAGGTGGTCGAGTACGGGCTCAGCCAGGAGGATTGGGATTTGCTAACAGCTGCCCGAGCGTCACCGAAGGAAATCTAACAGCTCAAGAGCTGCTGCTTTGCAAATCCATGCGTCTATATCGGATCGGAACCGCGATGCGCTGAGAAGATCCGACGAGAAACTCAGCGGGCTCATGTAAGGGTTATACGCAATGTATGGTAGGGCCCACGACCCTACACCGCAAAATAAATTTATAGAATAATAAAATATTGTTGTATTTTTTTTAATTGTGAAGATGGGTAGACGAACTCACGGCCCACCTGGTGTTAAGTGGTCACCGGAGCCCATAGATATTAACCACGTCGATGCCACCGCCCATCTTGAGACATGAGTTCTAAGTCTTCGTTTTTACAGTACAACGGCTGTCTCTTTAAAACAAAACACATTACTGCTCTTTCCTTACCTAATCGCTGGTAGCCCAAAGAGCTATTCTATTATACTGGAAGAACTAGCTAACACTAACCCTAGCAAGAGCATTGGTTCGTTGAATCTACCACCGGATCCAAATCCGCATGTTAGGCAGGACGGTGGTACTTACCTGTGCGGTATCACAAGGGGCGGTACCACCAGTAAATAAAACAGTATTATTTGGGTAAGGGTGACTTTAGTGTCGCTCTATAGTATTTTACTCTATTTAAAACTTTAATTTAAGCGGAAAATTTTCTCCATAATCGAAATGTTTCTGTACAGATCCCAACAACAAATTCAATGAGCTGTAATATTCCAGTTCGCGTATTAATATTGCACCTGATAAGATAACAAGAAAGGTGAGGCAGACAGATGTGCTAACACGGTAAGGGGATAAGCTTATTACTTCAGTCTGTTGGAGGAAAACTTATTAAATGTGCATGTTTGCATTAAAGATTAAAACTCATATTACTTGCTGCCTAAACAATATTTTTTGATAGGAAATATATTTCATCTCGATAGTATTATAATAAAAACATATGTCATTTAAAAAAGAAAAACTGCCTACGTTTTTAATCGATTACAATTTGAATACGATTAGTAATGGATAATGTTAAAAAATTTTGTCATTGCGGTGAGCATTGTTTCACAAATTCTCTATTATTAATAAATATTTCTGTTATTCGATTCATTCATATTTATATTTGTTTTTTTGAATAATTGATTGATTGTTTGATTTTATTAGATTAAATCGTAATAGTAAACTTTGTTATCCACTTCTACCTGTCCTTTCCTACCAAACTGGTGAAACTGGGTTAGCTCCGCGACGCTACCAGAAAAGAAAGGAAAACTAGTATAGAATAGAATATAGAAGTATTTTTATGACATGTTAATATCAAAATTAAATCCATCCGATCACTTTTAGGATAAACTGCAGAATATTGTGGACGGAAATAATATGCACACTACGGCTCGGATTAATTAAGACATTATTATTTTACGGAATGTTTTTTTATTAAATTTATTCAATTTTAACGTGTCACTGAGATCGTTTGATTTTAAATATTTGCGTTTTAAGCATATTATATGAATAATACTTTTTATAAAACCCTATTAAATAGATCGCTTCGTGAAAGAAGCTCGGCCGTTTCCTAAATTCGTTACGTAAAACGGATAATGTTATTATGTTTTCCTCAGAATCGTTCAAATAAGTTTTCATGAAGCGTGTCTCGAGAATCAAGATTTATTTATTTTTAATGAGCACTCACCTCTCCTTTCTGAGTTCGCTGTTCCGTTTGCGGAAGTTGGCAACGAGTATCTGGAGCTCGGAGGAATGCCGCTCATACAGCTGTGACAGTTGCGTCGTAAAGTCCGACACTGGAAAAAACATAAACATTAATTTTGTTAAACATTAACTAAAGAGCCGATTTAAATTACGAAATACATGGACGGTTTAATATATAATGTAATATCTAATTATTTTAAAGTTTTGGAACGAAGTTCATGATGGGACGATGCGAAGGGGTACCCTAACCGGGAAAAAACGTCCGTAACGTAAGATTTTTATTAGTAATGAACACAGTGTACGACTTAACTTTGTAATCGCGTACAAAAAATAACATATTTTTTATTATACATTTTTTATAAATCATTGTGAATAAAATAAAGTTGATAACTTTGTAGTTTTTTTTTATCAATAAAAAAATCATAATAAAAAATGTATACCTGAATGATTATTTTCTTTATACCTCGAATAGAACTTAAAATTAATATTTTTATAATATGGAACTTCGTTCCTATCCCTGTTCCACGACACCACATATCTTTTTTTAAGGATCCGATTTAAATTACAAAATACATGGACGGTTTAATATATAATATAATATTTATTAATTTCAAAGCTCAAAAATATCATACACAATACAGTATTTTACGATGATAAGGGACAAATTATTTGTAATCTACACACCATTGTACTAATCTTCCTATGGTAAACAATTTTGTTTTATCGGAAGTCAAGACCGTCAAGTCTTCTTGATGGTGGTTACTGTCGCTCAAGGCGGTTAGCAATACCAGGGGCACATCCATGCTGCTCCCTACCGGAATATGTTACTGTTTGAGTATATTCTGCACAGTCTTGTTGTTGATTTGAATATTTGCAATTGCAAATAATGTCCACCCGTGATCATGACGTTTGAAACAACGCCGAAATATCGGAAACTCAATGTGATAATCATAGTGAGAACCCGTTAAATAATTATGTTTGTAATGAAAATCTATTTATATATATATATATATAAATGAATTGCTATTCGTTAGTCTCGCTAAAACTCTAGAATGGTTGGACTGATTTGGCTAATTTTGGTCTTGAATTATTTGTGAAAGTCCAGAGAAGGTTTAAAAGGTAGATAAATATGAAAATGCTCGGAGTTAAATAAAAATAACCATTTTGTTTTTCCTTTGACGTGTCCCCCGTCGGACGGATTCCTGTTGTTTGTTTTAAGTTTATTTTATACTAGCGACCCGCCCTCGCTTCGCTTCGGAAACATTAAAACACACATGAAACAAAAAAATAAAATAAAAAATAAATAAAAAAAAGTAGCCTATGTTCATCAGGGACAATGTCGGCTTCTAATGGAAAAATAATTTTTCAAATCGGTCCAGTAGTTTCGGAGCCTATTCGAAACAAACAAACAAACAAATCTTTCCTCTTTATAATATTAGTATAGACAAAAGCTTAGGTATTTTATTTATTGATTGAGACACTACGAAGTCTGCCAGGTCAGCTAGTTTTAATATAAATATCAAATTGCTAATCTAGTATTAGTTACTTGATATTTTTTCAATTAAAAACCATATTAAACTTTTTCAGTTTAAAAAGTTGAAATTGGTATGAACACGGAACATCATTATCTTCAATGTACATGTCTACACGTAATTCGACGAACGAAACTTATTGATTTGCGCTATAACATGGAAGGCACGATGTTCATTAGACAGAGTGCGTTCTTAAGCCTTCGAAGCTCTTTAAGGACTTTTACATTCCCTGCACTCAGAAGCACGAACTTCGCATTTTAAACTTTCCACGCGAATACTACTTTTAATACTTGTTAAATATCTTTGCCTATAAATTTAAGCCGTAATTTCTTTCAAAACGTGTGTTCAAAATTCGTGGGTAGTGTGTTTGATTGTATAGATTTTATAATTTTATAACCGAAAATTTGTGGAGATAGGTCAATGGTTCATATTGTTTTGAAATTGCTCAGTAGTGTATGTGTTATATTTACATTAAAATTGAGAATCCAATCTATTGTTTCTAGACGTGTGGCGGCATTCACGACCTAATGGACTTCGCCAGCCAAATAAAACTGGGTAAATCGCGATCTAGTATCATACGTGTTAAAAATAATGTAAATCACGGTTTTCACAATGTGGTATTACTGTTTTCTATTTTTGGCTGTCCCACCCTTTAAACCCAAATGCATTTACATAATTTTAAAACATAGATTCAAACTAGTGCGATTATTGATGCTTATACGAGTATAGAAATTCATAGTAAATATTGGATGCTAATTGAAATTGTTTGTTATATAAAACAATTTGTAGTTCATAAACAGTAAGTTTTCTGTTCTTTTTGTTCATATCAAGCTACAAATATTTGCCATTATTTAGATATTAAATACATTTATGTGCATAGCTAGACAAGATGCTATTTTAATTTGCAGCATCTACCTTTATAAATTATTCATATACTCCTATGGAGTATGGCGCTATTGTTGAATAGGATTTTTTAAAACAATGCAAGCTTAATTAAATTCAAACATGGTAATATTCAAATATGTACATATGAAAAGAAGGGTAGCTGAATAAATTAACATTTGTTTTGCACAAAATTATATTAATTGACCTAATATAACGAGTTTCGCGTTTCTTATATTCTGAATTCGTCACTTTTAGATTACTATTTGGGAAGTGTACTGTATTGTAAAAGAGGATTGAGGAATTACTGCTGGCCCCTTCGTCGATGACACGGCTATCTACTTCGTGTAGGAAGAAGTCGCTATTGCATCGGCGACTCCAGATCGCAGCAGCCACCACGGGACACTGGTTCTGGAAGTGGCGCATTGACATCAACCCTACGAAAAGCACAGCGTTGCTCTTCAAAAGGGGTCGCCCTCCGAATACCACTTCAAGCAGCCCACTCGCTAATAGGCGCGTTAACACCTCCGCCGTTAGCTCCATCACTCTCTTTGGCCAGCCCATACCGTGGGCCTCGAAGGTCAAATATTTAGGCGACACCTTCGACAGAGGGATGACATTCCAACTCCACATATTCAAATTCAAAACGGTATTGGTAAACGGTAATTGTCCCTTCGTAATAAGGTGACACTCTACAAAACTTGCATACGCCCCGTCATGACCTATGCTAGTGTAGTGTTCGCTCATGCGGCCCGCACTAACTTGAAACCCCTTCAATCCGGTTTTTGCAGGCGGAGCACCATGGTTCCTTAGGAACGTGAATCTCCATGATGAACTGGAGCTTGACTCAATCAGTAAGTATATACAGTCAGCATCATTGCGCCACTTTGGGAAGGCGCCACGACACGAAAACCCTCTTGTCGTGGCCGCCGGAAATTACATACCCGATCCTGTGGACCGAATGATAAACAGTCGACGTCGCCCTAAGCACGTCATTATGAATCCTCCCGATCCATTAACGGTACTTTAAGGTACCACAAGCACCGGTCACCGTCCTCGTCGAACCCGTCGCCCGACGAAGGGCTGGACGAGTGAATTAACCCATAGACACAGCCCACTGAGTTTCTCGCCGGATCTTCTCAGTGGGTCGCGTTTCCGATCCAATGGTAGATTCTGCAAAGCACTGCTCTTGCTAGGGACAGTATTAGCAACACTTCCGGTTTGAGCCCCGAGAGCTCACCTAAATACTAGGGTGAAGCTGAAATAGCCTCTCAAGGCTAACAGCATAGATAGGAAAAAAAACTACTGGCTAAAAAAACAGAGGCCATTGCAGTTTCACCAGGACAAGTGGACGAGCAAAGACTCAGCCAGGAGCAGAGGAAAGGAGACCTAACAACTCTAGAGCAGCTGTTTCGCGAATGAATCTACTACCGGATCGGAATAATGACCCACTGAGTAGATCCGACGAATAACATTCAAAAAGTGTATTTGGTTTTAGTACGGAAAAGGTAGTTTAGTAGTTAAGATTAAAAAGCAGATTCGGCATAGCGAACCGATAAAAATCGAGATAAAGTTTTAAGATGATAGCAATTCGATAAAACCTAGTTTACAACTGTTATCAAGTTTGCGCCATCGGGAATGAGAATTCTCCAGCGCAATTCTTCCAAGACTTACACAATGAAACAAAAAAAAAAAAGGAAGTTTCAACTAAGTTTGAGGCTCACCACGGCCAAACTCTTTTGAATACTTTATAAAGTTAAGGCGTGGCCTAAGTTTTCTTTCTAAAGTTGTATTAGTGGACTGATTTCCTTTAGTTTGGTAGCTGAAGTCGAACGAAAAGTTAAGATGGAGTCAGAACTTAGAACAATAAAATCAATCTAAGTTATAAAATCTTTAGTAATAAACTCATTAGAATCATATCTACAGAAAGACATAATGAAACTAATTTTTTTTTTTTAACTGGAGCCATTGATAGCATTTAAAATAAAGCTAGCGATATATTGATAATATTGGCTCATGATCTTAGTATACAAAAATAACATTGGATATATGAACAAAGTTCTAGCGGTTAATGACATCTTATGAAGTGGAAATAACTTTGCTTTCCAATAGGGGACGAAACTAGAAGAAAGAATAAAAATTAACAAAAAAAATAATTACTAGTCTGATGATTCCTAAAGATCTCTGTCTAAAGATCTGTGTGGAAGGTCCGACTCCGACCTAGGGGTGCTTACTTATACCCACTTGTTTGTGGTTTTCCCACTTGTTTTCTTACTAAACAATTCTAGTTAATGTGTTGGGAACCGTAAATTTTTCCGTGAAATTCAATGTGTCTTTTTTTGTTTCATTTGATGTAGATACATAATCCTCCAGATTTCACATAAAAGGGAAACCTTCATACCATATTTCAAAATATTTTATTCATTTCTGCACTAGTATCATGAGCACGATAACTTAAGAAATTACGTATCGCATGTTCAATACTGAATTAATATAATATGATATGACTATGTAATTATCTAAGGTAATTCGCCGAATCCCTTGGATCGCTTCCTTGATTAATGTAAATCTAAATATACGTAGTAAATATATGTAGGCCATAGTCCCGAACAATTTACACATCAATTAACATCTATTTATTGTATGTCTATATTTTCTTTAATAGTGAATTTAGTAGGACACCGCCACATACCTGATGTATCTTTTCCAGAATTGTTGTAAATTAAACGGTTGTCTGGAAGAGATCGTTTTTGGCGATAAGTCACCGCTTATTGTACAAATGTATCTACTTGTGGATTGTTTTTTTAATGTAAATTATATTTTGGTGAGCAATAAAGTATAGTATTTCTCTCTCTCTCTCTCTCTCTCTCCCTCTCTCTCTCCTTAGATAGAGAAACTAAATTTATAGTACTGAAAAGAAACAATTAAAACATCTTAACCATCAGCACGATTTAATGTCCAAGCTTGGTAATTGTTTACAAAAGCTTTTGATTATTTGCGATTCTTAGAAAACAAAGTAACCAATACTCGGATAGTTCAGATTCTCATTCTATATTTATTTTGCAAATTTTATCGGTAAAATAAAACTTTGTCAAGAATTTGTTTCTCAGATTCGAATAATGGAAAATTTCCATTATATTTCGTAGGAGCTGTATGGTTGAATTTGCAAACCAAGAAGAAGAACAATCCGAATATGTTTTTGTTGCAAGTGTTCAAATCAACTACATTACTTAATTTTAAACTTAGAAAACGACGGTAAATGCAATCCACATTTGTTTTAAATACACCGTGTCTTTGACCTCCCGTTAGAGGTCGGTCTTTAGTTAATCGCCTCAACATGTAATCTAGATGAATTTAATCGTGATGCGGGTAATTAGATAGAATGGAGCATCTATAGAGACTCGGATGAGGCTTTACATTGCACTTTAATTGTGGGCGAGTATTTCATTCCGAAATAGTTGAGTCGGTACCTAAACTCAAGTAATTTAAAACATGCTTTGAATTTTACAAATATTTCATCGAGACCAACTTCAAACATATATGAATACTGATATTGAATGGCTTAGTTCAAAATACATAGAAAATTATTTTGATGTCCATCACTACTAAAAATACTATAGATTAGAAAAAAAATACCATGTGAATGTAACTTTATTGCTGTCTGTTTTAGAACATTTTAATAAAAATGAATTTTTGTCGTGAAAGTTTAATATTTCAATAATATATATATATATTCATAATAGTGGTGAAAAGGGTTGACTGTTTGTGTTTGCCGAACGCGGCGGTACCTGCGGTTTAATCTTATTATTCTCACGATGCTGGCTACGTTTACCTTATCTGTACATAGTAATAATGGACGCAAAAATATTCATGTATTCTTAGGACAGGGTTCAAAACAAATATACAGTTGAATTATTTATTTAATACTAAGACCGATAAAAAATTAAGATGTTGGAAAAATTAAATTGCTGTTTGCCGAATTTATTCTATTCTATTTGATTCTATGCTGCAAATAATTTTTCAGTGTTCTTGATGGATACCCTATGACCCATTTTATATTAAAAGGTTTAAATGAGCACAAAAAATAAATGAGGTCACAATCTGAAATTTAAGACCGAAATCTCAGTATTTATAATGACAATCTCAGCAAAACAAAAATAATAATAATATTCTTCTCGAACACTAATAATAAGTTACAACTTACCAAAACTCAAAGATAATGGTAGAAAGTTTTTAGAAAACTTGTCAAAGCTTTTAACGCGAGAGAAAAAAGTTAAAATTTAATGCTAAAAGAAGGTCTCTCGTATTTTCATAAGGTAGGTTACATTTATGAATTTATGTTTCTTTGTAAAACGAAATGATGAAATAAATATTCATAGCAAATAGATTTAATGTAAATGCGAACGTTTCTGTGTATAACTAAATTTAAATCTGAAAATAATAATAGTGAAATGAAACTATAGTCTTTTATCATGCCTATGATCTAGAAAAATCTCAAAGTATATTTCTACGTGTACGTTTTGTAAGTTGCCCATCGTTTGATTGTATTCTTTCAAAACAGCGCAAGTTCAAGACTAAAATCTAAAAACAAACGAGCAATAAAACTCTATCCTGAAGAAATTGACATTTGTTTTTGAGAAAATATTGATGTTACTAACAATAATTGTAATTTATTTATCTTTTACATATTTCCAACGCTTAAAACATAAATAGTATACGACTTCTGCTATCGAAAGAAGAGAACCCCCGAAGCAAAGGCCGAAACAGTTTCCCATAGCGACCACGAGGTCCAAAGTAGTTCTTGCAACTTGTCTGGTAACTCGCTGATATGGTCTGCTACCCATTATAAATGATGATGGCCTGGCTCTAAGAAATTTCTCGGGTTCTGATAGTTTCTTTGAGATCACATTGTAGTCTGGCTCAATACAAGAGGGTAAACAGTTGCAAACCAAACCAGCTTCGTTCGTGCCCGGAACTTTGAGCTTCCCGAGAGTCTTGTAGTTATTTGTCAAACACTTTAAACCTTCGAAGTCACAAACGCGGTCCTTAAACTGGATCGGTGATAAATGGTGAGTACAATTACACATTCTCAGTTGGGCGTCTATTCTGCACTGTGTTATACAAACAGAATAGCTGTAGTGCTTGAATGCAAGGATGTTTTCGGGTGTTTCATCAGAAAATCGGCACTGACGTGTTTCAGGAGCTATAAGAGACACTTCTGGTTCATTAACTACGTCCATTATTGTAAATGTGACTGTAGCTTGTGATCCGTAAACAATTCTTATTCGTCGATCATATTCCATATTCCAGAAAGGAACGTCTTCAGGCGAATGGATAAATGCTTCGTAATCTTGTGATGTTGTTATTTCTAACTCACCTGGTATACGACGATTGGATGTAGCGACTAATGGAATTTGGGTGCCGGCTACATTTTTATTATTTATTGAAAAACATGTCCCGTATTCTGTCGCAAGGGGTTTAAATTGTTTACAGCAATCGATCGGCCTTCCATTCCATTTGCAACTCAAAAAGAAGTCTTTACAAGGAGTTCGAAACATAGACGCGGTCTGTGTGAAATCCGATGAGCAAATCGGTTTGAAATCACACGTGGCTAAACAAGTATAACATGTTCCGCTGAAGAAAGCAATGTCTCCAATGAAACGATCAAATTTCTCGAAGTTATCGTTCGAGACCTCGTTACCAATCATCCATATTTTTTCAACGTTAGCTATCTCACAAACTGTAACTGAGGCAAAAGTCGTGTTCCACTCCAAATAATCTGTGCGAGTTGTGAAACGAATCGTATTCTCTTGATAATGATTATAATATCTCCGAATGGTTGCGACAGCCGCAATCCATATTTGTACGTATATTAAGAAATATATAACTTTGTACACAAAGTGAACATCTTTTCGCGCGAGGAAACTCGGTCCGTGGACTGTTAAATTTCCACATGTATGCTTAAATCTTCGGTAGAGTAATTCCGTATGCTCTTTTAATTTAGGCCACACTGTCATTTTGTTGAATATTTTCGGCTCTAGTTTTAATAATATAATCTGACGGGTGCCGGAGCTTAAATGAAAGAGTGAAAATAAAACTGTTATTTAAATAATGCAAGGCTTTTAACGATCGCACGAAATATGTCCATTTGGATAATGTCATAGATTGTATATTTAAATGTTAGGTTATTAACGTTTTGTTCAGTAACGACACGGAAAGTGAGATTAAAAGCATGATAAAGACTAGACCATTAATTGTAATGTTGCGCACAAAATATCACTCGACAGTACCACGTAATGAAATTTACTTAAATTAATTAATTAATAATTATTTTACTACTACTGATCCGGCAGACTTCGTAGTGCCTCAATCGATAAATAAAAGATCCAGGCTTTTGTATAAGATAAACTTAAAACAAACAAAAGGAATCCGTCCGACGGGGGACAAATCAAAGGAAAAACAAAATTGTTATTTTTATATAACTAGATGATGACCGAGCTTTGCTCGGTTTTTTTTTTGATAACGCCATCTTGTTGTGTCTTTAAAGCAGTTAGTTGAAATTATGAAAAATAGTATTATTATTCGTCAATAGATGTAAGGGAAGAGTTGATTATTGAAAACACGAATAAAACAACATTTTCTGAAAATAAATCGTAGCTAGATCGATTTATCGCCCCCTAAATCCCCTGTATACTAAATTTTATGAAAATCGTTGGAGCCGTTTCCGAGATTCAGATTATATAATAATATATATATTAATATACAAGAATTGCCCGTTTAAAGGTATAGGATTCCGAGCATTTTCATATTTATCTACCTTTTAAACCTTCTCGGGACTTCCACAAATAATTTAAGACCAAAATTAGTCAAATCGGTCCGGCGTTCTCGAGTTTTAGCGAGACTAACGAACAGCAATTCATTTTTATATATATAGATGAAACATTAACATCTTTATATCTACGAATTACTCTTAAACGTCGATGTGACTTATATTCAAATCACAAGACTACAGTTGAAAAGATAAGTTGAAACAAAATTAATATTTATGAAGTGATCAAATCCAATTATCTTGGAACACTCCGACATTGTAAAATCAAGAAAGTCCTTATTCTAATACATTCAAGAGAGCAAGAACGAATAATTGAACGCGCAAAAAGGAAAATCATAATCGAGTAAATCCAATCGAAAACTGTTCAATAACTGTTTAATGGTCGTAGACGAGTCCGTAATTAGAATTCCACGTTTAAAGTAAACGGATTTAGTTAGATGTTTTTTTTATTAGCACTAAAGTCGATTTTACTTTTGACGTCACCTTTACTTAATTTCCTTTTTATTTTTTTATTGCCCTTGTAGGCAGACGAGCATACGGCCCACCTGATGGCGAGTGATTACCGTCGCCCATGGACTTCAGCAATGCCAGGGGCAGAGCCAAGCCGCTGCCTACCGCTTAATACTCTCCACAAGCCTCTTTTGAAGAAGGACATGTCATAGCGCTCGGGAAACTCCGTGGAGGGGAGCTCATTCCATAGCCGGATGGTACGTGGCAAAAAAAACCTCTGGAAACGCACTGTGGATGACCGCAGTGGCTCCAGGTAGTATGGATGAACTCTACTCCGGTGGCGGGCGGTGCGATGGTAAAAACGAGATGCCGGTATCATCTCGAACAATTCCTCAGAGCACTCCCCATGAAACATACGGTACAAAATACAGAGAGAACCGAAGTCCCTCCGCAGACTCAGAGGTTCCAAACGATCCGTGAGAATGGGATTATCGACAAAAAATGTAGGTATGCTTCAGGATTAAATGAAATGAAACTGAAAAACTGCTAAATAATTCCCAAGTTATTTATTATTATTTTCATTGTATTTTAGATAGATGATGCACAGGTCCTACCACCGGCCGAAACACCCATGGCCAGTAAGATTTTGCGTCAACAGGAAGGTGAGATACCCTCGGTCGCGGTTCACCTATTGGAGATTGGAGCTTCCACAGTCTTCACGATAAAATCGCTCCTTCGAGGACAAACTGACTATGTGTCTGAACATAATTGCAGATTCTATGATAATGAAAACACATTTAAATTAATATTTTTACAGAAGAATAGTTATAATGCATGAACATTCGATCGATTACAATTATGAAATTAGGCTTGCACGAAGGCCAACTAAATTTTGTTACTTCTAAAGTCATCTATAACGCGGATTCATTCCAGAACGTGCGAGCTTGAAAATCCATTATGAGATTCAATTATTTCAGGCTTAGTCGGGACTTAATTCCACCATGAAATCGGAAACGAAGAGTTAACGGAATTTAATTTTGAATTAGGTCAAGACAATTAACTTTTTGCCGAAAAAATATCTTACTTTATAAGCTTTTTTCAAAGAAATAAAATAGTTATAGTTAATTTTGATTTGTATGATTTGTTTTACAGTTTTAATTTATCTGTGAATGGTGTCTTTATGATGTTTGTGAAAATAACAAATATAGCGTCAAGTATATTAGTAAATATATGAACACGTTACCCCTTGTGAAGTGTCAGCTCAATGTAAATTACTATGGGATATGTGGTTTGTCAAAGCTGTGACGTGGTGTGTTGAGCTGCCAACCACACGTCGACAACGAAGTGGAAATAGGGGTAAATATACAATGATCGAAATTATTGATTTTACACTACCGGTCGTAGCAAGCTCTGTAAGATATAATCACTATCACTTGTCACTTGTTACTGTACTTAGTTGTACTATTTTTTTCTGTTGTGGTGGTTATCATAAAATATTCTTCTAAAAACATTTTTTTTTGTTTTTCAAATCAGATAGGCATTCAGCGCCAATAATAGTGTGGCCTAACCTACGAGCTAATATTATAAATTACCTACGTATATATAAAATTGTCATGGTTCAACTACAATTTGAATAACGATTTACGAGGAGGGATAAAAAAGTAGTGAGAACGACATACTCCTTGGTAAGAAAAATAATAATACTGGCAGGCATAGCTCAGATACATATTTGCGAGAAAACGAGAATACGAGAAAATTGTATTGAGCGATCGAAGAGTTACCATCCGATAGTTAATTCAAGAAACGGGCATTTCATATAGAAGTTATTCAATCCATATTGAAACAATCTTTGAATATGAGAAAAGTCTCCGCGAGATGGGTACCGAGAATGTTAACCGACATTCAGAAACAAAATCGACTTGACATTTCGAAAACATTGTTGGACAAGTTTCAAAAAGATTCTGAAAACTTTTTGTCTCGTTTCGTAACAATGGACGAAACATGAGTCCATAATTTTGATCCCGAGACAAAACAGCAATCTTCGCAATGGGAACGGCCATCATCACCGACCCCAAAGAAATTTCGTGCCGTGACATCGGCTGGCAAGGTTGTGGCCTCAATATTTTGGGATTCAGAAGGGATATTGTTGATTGATTACTTGGAGCGTGGAACCACTATTACAGGCCAATATTATGCAGCTTTAATTCCCAAGTTGAGGAATGCCATCAAAGAGAAAAGGAGAAGAATACTTTGAAGGGGCGTGCTGTTTCATCACGACAACGCACCCGTGCACAGGTTGGCAGTTGCGATGGCTGCCATTCAGCAAGCTGGCTTCGAATTGGTTAACCACTCCCCTTATACACCAGATCTGGCGCCTAGTGATTTTTAGCTGTTCCCCACATTGAAAGAATACTTAAGGGGAAACAGGAACAAAGATGATAACGAGGTAATGGATGCCGTGGAGAGTTTTTGCAGGACCAAGACAAGACTTTTTTTAAAGGAATTGAAGCCTTGAAAAACCACTGGACTCGTTGTGTAGAGAGACTCGGAGACTGTGTAGAAAAATAAATTATTAAGTTATCAATAGTCATTATATTCTATCTTATTTTCACTACTTTTTGATCCTCCTAGTACATAATAATTTTTTTTATTGTTAACCAAGATAATGCTTTTTGATCAACCTAATAATAACTTAGATATAACCCATTTTACATTTAAAGCATACATGTTTGCATAAAACCTACAAAATTAAAATAACTGAAACTTTAGTTCATATTATACTTAAGTTTAAGCTTGAGCGAGTTCAAATATTATAATATTAGTTCTGTACGAGTGAGTATTGCATTATTAAGCTATAGTCAACTTTATTAGCCTGTACAACTGTTGTTTGCTGTACGTGTGTTTCATATTAATTACTGGAATAATATTCCACAAGGGATATATGACCTACATTTGTATAGAAACTATTTTCCATTAATGCCCAGTTCGATGACTTCAATTAGGCGCTAGGCCTCTTAAGGATTTTATTACATGTAGAACGAAGGATTTGGAGAAACGCTTATTGGATATTATCTATACTTCTATACTTATATTATAAAGAGGAAAGATTTGTTTGTTTGTTTGTTTCGAATAGGCTCCGAAACTACTGGACCGATTTGAAAAATTCTTGGTCCATTAGAAGCCGACATTGTCCCTGATGAGCATAGGCTACTTTTTTTAATTTTTTTTATATTTTATTTTTTTGTTTCATGTGTGTTTTAATGTTTCCGAAGCGAAGCGAGGGCGGGTCGCTAGTTGGTATATAATATGTAAAAATTGATTGATACTATGAAAATTTATGAAATCAATATTAATTGCTGTCATCAATTTTTTATTAAGAACTAGCTGACCTGGCAGACTTCATAGTGCCTCAATGCCTCAATCGATAAATAAAAGAGCTAAACTTTTTATCTACCTTTAAACCTTCTCTGGACTCCCACAAATAATTCAAGACCAAAATTAGCCAAATCGGTCCAACGAACGTCGGGAAAACGAACAACAATTCATTTATATATATAAATTAATAATAACACTTAAAAAGCACTCACTTGTTATTCTGTGCTTGTAACTTTGAAACATAACTCTGTTCTTCAAAGGAGTTTTTATGGTCATTCATGTAAAGATAAAACGGGGAAAGGCTGATTGTTAATACGAATTGCAAACAGCGCTCTGGACGTTTTTCCTTCAAAACCAAATTCAGTTTGGCTACT